AATAACTCTTAGAAATAATAACTTTTAGGGAGAACTACCAAATAAGCCCTAAAACTTACATAAAAAGTGTAAATCACCCCTTGTATAGGAGGCTCTGTCCGGCCATCGCTATTTGGGCGGTTCCCGGTGGAATTTTTTAATGAATTTTTTTGAGCATGTTTTTCATTAAGTCTAGTTTACCCGTACCAAATTTCAACTAAAAATTCAACCGGGAAGGCAGTCAAATGATTTTCTGAAATATACTGTGCTGTTTAACTGCGCAGTTATCTTCAAAAATTCATTTTATTGCCTTCCCGATTGAATTTTTAGCTGAAATTTGGTATGAGTAAACTAGACTTAATAAATAAGATGCTCAAAAAATTCATCAAAAAATTCCACTGGGAACCGCCCCAAATGATGACGACCGGACAGAACCTTCTATATAAGGGGTGATTTGCACTTTTTATGAAAGTTCGAGGGCTTATTTGGTAGTTCTCCCTAACTTTTATTATATAATACCTCATATTCTATTTTCATACAATTACAGATTGTATTTAATGAAAATTTGATGTTAAAGTTAATATACTATTATAATAAATAAACAGAACGATATTATATTACTGAATTTTGTACCGGTATTGCACGGGTGAGAATCCAGTCCCATCAATACATAAACAAAATATATAAATATATCGTAGTCATACGAATTATTAGGTAGCAACTAGAGGAGTATGTTTTATTTCAATAATAACAAAGTACTGTTCCGATCATAGTTTAAGAATCTCATGGCAGAATGGCACAATTATTTATGCGATAATTAAATAAGGTAATTTGAATATATTTTGAGAATTAATTTTGACGAGTATATAATAATATAATGGAATCTTCGATGATAATTATAATGTTATCAGAAAAAATTGCAGGAGTATCACTACGCGTGTTTTGATTTACCAAAACATTACCTTTTTAAATTTTTCTAAAAATATGACTTTTTCTTCCAGCCCACTTACCCAGCGGATCTCTTCTCCCGATCTCCCTCCGTCTCTTCTCTCCCAATCTTTTCTCCCTTGCAATCTTCTCCCTCCCCCTCCACCATGACACGCCGCCTCCGCCATCTCTAACACTTCTCGCCGCCGGCCGAAACCTCGCTCTGCCATCGTCGCCTCCCCTCTGTCCCTTCGATTTTCCGTCAACGTGTCCCATCGTCTTTGCCAACACAAAATCACAATCGTCGCCGCCTCCGTCTGATTCATTGGCAACAGGTTCGTCTTATTCATCTTTCTCTTCTTCTCCTTCTTACTTTCTCGTTAATCGATCGATTGTTCCGTCCAATTTGTGTTGGCGGTGGAAAATGATGATTGAGGTAGCTAGAGGGTGGAGGCTAGGGCTTGGCGGTTAGGCGATATATGGTGACGACGATGGCTAGCCGATGCAGTCTTACCTATGCTTAGGCTGCTAGAGTTCACACATTTTAAATCCAAGGGATTCAAGGTACGTGGTGGTTGGAAGAGGGCTGGAGTTGGGAAGGGGAGGCTGAAGAAGTGACTGGCCGTTGGGAGAGGGCTGGGACAGGGGAGGGCGCAGTTATGGGGCGGCGGCAGTCGGTGGACTGGCGGTTAAGGTTATGATCGTGGTGGTAGGTTGGAGGTTGGGGGCGGTGGTCGACGGCGGCGGTCTGATGGTAGGGGGTCGCTCTAGCGCGGGGTAGGTTAAGGACGGGGCTGAGGGAGTAGGGGACACCGGAGACGGCGTGTCACTGTGACCGGATTTGGTGTGTCACTGTGGCTGGTGGACAATCACTGTGACCGGTGGACAGTCACTGTGGTCAGTGGGCAGTCACTGTGATGGCGGAGTCACTGTGGCGGCGGAGTCACTGTGATGGTCGGAGTCACTGTGGCCGGAGTCACTGTGACCGGAGTCACTGTGACGGCGGGTCACTGTGGTGACATGTCACTGTGGCGGCGGGTCACTATGGCGGCGGAGTTACTTTGACCGGAGTCACTGTGGCCGGAGTCACTGTGACGGCGGGTCACTGTGGTGACAGGTCACTGTGGCGGCGGGTCACTATGGCGGCGGAGTCACTGTGATGGTCGGAGTCACTGTGGCCGGAGCAAGTCACTGGCGGTGGTGCGGCAAGACTGTTGGCGGCGCTAATGGTAACAGTGGCGGTTGGGGATGCAGGAGTAACTCTTTCCCATTTTGAGTATTAAAATTCATTATTGGCCTTTTAGTTATACATGGATGTTAAATGGATTGGTGTGCCACTGAATTAGTGGCCTTGTTCCTTGGTGTGCAACGGTTTGCTGAAAGTCATATTTTTGGACTTTTGGAACTCAACTCACTTTATTAGAAATCTCTTAATTAATAGTAATATTTGAATAAAAAGGCCAATGCGAGAATTGATAATTAAATTATCATTTGAGAGTGTTAATAATTTCTTAAAATAAAAATAAGAACCTATGTCTAGAAAAGGAAACTAAGATGTCTAGAATAGGAAGATGAGAATCAAGTTATTTGATTTTAGGTTTGAATATGTTTTTAGTCCCTGCAAATATTGGTCACTTTGTTTTAGGTTCCTGCAAAATATTTTCTTTGTTTTTCATCCCTGTAATATGCATTATTTTGGTTTTAGTCCATCTTTAACTCCGAAACAACTATACCTAGAGTTTTATATTGTTGGTTGCATAAATCAACTAGAAGCGCTTAAATTTATCAGTTTATAATTTTTTTCAGGTTAATAAGAGAGTTAAAACAATTATAAAACTAATTATTCACATTTTAAAAAAATTATTAATAAAAAATTCTTTAAAAATGAAATTAAATACTTTTTGAATGGTATGACAAAGAATTTAAGGATACCTATTAGTCGGGACTGTTTCGGTGTCAAATAGAGGTTGTTATCATTAGTCATGGACTAAAAAGTAAATGAACATAAATTTCAAGAATGAAAAACAAAGAAAATATTTTGCAAGGACCTAAAACAAAGTGACCTATATTTGCAGGGATTAAAAACATATTTAAACCTTGATTTTATTAAGATAAACTCTATTTGTACCCACCCCCTTATACCTAGGTGTTGTTCTGTTCGTCTTATTCTTATTATTTATTGCTTATTCTTATTTTATTCAGATCAGATCAGATCAGAAAAATTCAGATCAGATCAGATCAGATCAGAAAGATTCAGATCAGATCAGATCAGATCAGAAAGATTCAGATCAGATCAGATCAGATCAGAAAGATTCAGATCAGATCAGAAAGATTCAGATCAGATCAGACCAGATCAGAAACATTCAGATCAGATCAGAAACATTCAGATCAGATCAGAAAAGTTCAAACATGATTTATCACTTTTATTATTATATTAATTATTATTATTAATATTGTTATTACAATTATGATTATTATTATATAATTATTATTAATAATATTAATAATAATATGATAACAAAAATAAGATATTAATAATAGTTATAATATTTTAATATAATAATAGTAATATAAATGTAATTATTAAGAAGACTATTATTATTATCATCATCATCATCATCATCATCATCATCATCATCATCATCATCATCATCATCATCATCATCATCATCATCATCATCATCATCATCATCATCATCATTATCATTATCATTATCATTATCATTATCATTATCATTATCATTATCATTATCATTATCATTATAATTATAATATAATATTATAATATATAGAACTAATTATAATAATAATAATCATATTATTATTATATTATTGTAATAATAATATGAATATAATAATATCATTATTATAATATTAATTGTATTTATATTACTATTATTATATTATAATATTATAATTAATGTTAATATAATTATAATTATTATTAATTATAATTATAATAATTATAATTATACTTATAATTATAATTTATGATTATAATTATTAATATTATTATTATTATTACTATTGTAATTATTTTACGGAGTAATTATAATAATATTGATAACTATAGTTACAATTATAGAGATAAATATTGTAATTATAATTACAAATATAATTATATAAGTAATTATAATTAAAAATATAATTACAATTATAATTATATCTATATTTATAATTAGTGTAATAAGTATAAATTTTTTCATTTTAAATTTAATTTTAATTATTATTATTATTATTATTATTATTATTATTATTATTATTATTATTTTTATAGTTACGATTATAATTATAATTTTATTTAAATTATATTTGTAATTGGAATTATAATAATTATAATTATAATTATAGAAATATTCAAATCAGATCAGAAAGATTCAGATCAGATCAGATCAGATCAGAAAAATTCAGATCAGATTAGATCAGAACTTAAAAAATTCAGATCAGAAACATTCAGATCAGGCGAAGAGAACAGCTTCCTACCCACTCTTGTGAGAGTTAATTTTTTGGCTGTGAATCTATAATTTTCACATACAAAAACATGTTTATTTTGTCTGTCAACATGATTCACAGACAAAAAATAGTCTCTACTAAAAGTGGATATACGGATGAGTATAAGAGTGAATATAAATAACAAAATTGTTCTATTGATTATATTGGATTGCATGGTTATTAGTTCTTACAATGAATAAGAGCAATTACTATATAAAAGTGTCGATGTTGCATATGTGACAGGAGAAATACTGACACAAAAATTATTAATTACGGATTAATAGAAAGTCATACACATTTTTTCTCGCAGCGTAATAAATTGTCACTTGTTTTTTCACAATGTGAAACATTGTGAGATGGATCAAGTACTACGGTATTATTTTGTGGGTATGTCACTGTGTCCGATGCCACCACAGATCATACACTTATATCGTGACAATGTGACATGGAGATTGCAATACACCCGATAACTCATCGGCCATAAGCATGAAATTCCACGTGGCACCAATCACATCCCCAATACCCTTATCCCAATAATACGTTATCCCTAAAATATTTCCTAGCTATTTCCCCGTTCGCACATGACTCTTCCTCCTTTTCAGTATAACGACTACAGGTACAGAGAGAGCAAGCTCCTGCGGCCATGGCTTCCACACAGTGCTTCTACTTGCACCACCACGCCCTCTCAACACCAGCTAGGTCATCATCATTACTGTATCGCCACTGTCCGATCCTCAGGCCTCACCAACTCGTCTGCCGGGCGCAGAAGCAGTCCGCCGCGACTCACGAAGACCTCGGCGAAGCACTCGCCGTCTCTCGCAGATTGGCTCTTATCTCCCTTTTCGGAGCTGCCGCTGTTGTCTCCAAGGTTTCCCCCGCTGCCGCTGCCTATGGAGAAGCAGGTAAGTGCTTGTTGTTTCAGTTCACCAGGGTGATTTTCTCAGAAGATCTCAATATGTATAATCGAAATTATTATCAAAATATAACCATATGGACTTGAAAAAATGGTTTGATTATTATCCGATGGGTGAAAAAACATCCGAATTGTATTCATTCAAATTTTATGCGCGCTGTTGTTAGCTTAAGTAAGCTAATAATCTCATCTGTTTAAACCTAATCGTTGGTGAGGACGGTATTTCCCACCCTTAGGACTCTCAGAATGCTAACCAGGAAATGTTGATGGTGAATTGCAGCCAATGTTTTCGGGAAGCCAAAAACAAACACAGAGTTCTTGCCGGTATCAGGTGATGGTTTCAAGCTCCAGGTTCCATCGAAGTGGAATCCAAGCAAGGAAATTGAGTATCCTGGCCAGGTTCTCAGATACGAAGACAACTTCGATGCCAACAGCAATGTGTGTGTATTGATCACCCCAACGGATAAGCAGTCGATCACTGACTATGGCTCCCCTGAAGAATTCCTATCTCAAGTAAATCGGATAATTTGATCTGGTCAATGAAGTATAGGTGTTTATTCCCATGATCTGATCATTGTTTTCATTTCTCCAGGTGGACTACTTGCTGGGCAAACAAGCCTACTCTGGAAAAACTCAGTCTGAGGTGAGTTACAAAGCCCATCTCCCGTGAGATTGGCATGTAGAGATGTTATTTAATTTAATATGACCAAAGAGGGATTGGAAGGACTCAAAAAGGAAGAGAGGCAGATAATGTCATGTATGTTCTATATAACAAGGTCTAATAATGGAACTTACATGGAGCTCGAATAGAAAAAAATTGAGATGAAAAATCTGCTAACAGTGGTAATTACTGGTAAACAATAATGAACCTAAAGATGATTTAGGATACATCATAGATGTGTTCTACACTCCTACGTGAAAAAAGTTGTGACATAAAAATGGACCTCAGACTCGATCTCATGTGTAAGAGAGTCAACAAAATGGACTCCATACCATTGGGAAGCTTTTAGGTTCTGATCTTTTTTATTGAATATGCTGTTTAAGCTTGGTTTGGAATGTTATGTGGTGAATGTGTGATATAATTTATTCTGGCTTGTTTGTGTTTGCCAAGTTCAATGTTACCTCGATTATCTGTAAGCAATGATATTTTTTGCTGTAATAATAAGATGTTGTTTGTGAGCAGTTGCTTCTTTGCTTGGTCAATTGGTAAAATGTTGGTCATAATTTTCCTGTAATTGGTTTTAGTCTGGGCACCAAAAAATAATTCTCTTAGGTTGATCAAATTTTAAAGCTGAAGTTTGGTCTCTTTAGGCTTGTTTAAGTTCGTTTTGGTCCATTTAAATTTAGTCCTATATGATTTAGTTTTAATCGTAATATTTGTTGCAATCTCTTTAGTCCGGCACGATCTTTTTAATTTGGTGCGGTCTATTTGTGCCTAATCAATCTGGGTGATCTGTTTAAGTTTGGCATCTCTACTTTAGGTTTTATCGATATAAGAAGTAAATAAATCAGAAAATTGCAAAATCAGTTCAGTAATTTAAGATAACTTAACAACTATGGAAGGTGATATATTTAGTTTCAAATTTTCACAGTTTTGTCCCTAGACTGGGAAACTGGAAATGATTTTAGTGTGTTACAATGAGGTTACGTGAGTGTTAAGGGCAAATTAAGTGCTAAGTTCTCCATGGGGTACATGATTAAAATTACCACCTTGTAAAACTACGTAATTATAGAGACTACCCCCTAAGTTATGGACTTGGTTTGCAATTTCTCATAAATGCGTTAGATTAGATTATAATATAAAATGGAGTGTTTGGCAGGGAGGATTTGATCCTAATGCTGTGGCCACCGCAAACATATTGGAGACATCAACCCCTGTGGTGGAAGGGAAGCAATACTACTTTATCTCTGTCCTGACGAGAACAGCTGATGGGGATGAAGGCGGGAAGCATCAATTGATCACCGCCAGTGTTTCTGATGGGAAGCTTTACATCTGCAAGGCACAAGCGGGTGACAAGAGATGGTTCAAGGGAGTGAAGAAGTTTGTAGAGAACACTGCCAACTCTTTCAGCGTGGCTTGAGGTTGTTCGGGCTGTGTACGTAGTAGCTAGTAGTGTTGGTTATTTTGCATTAAAACCTCTCACTGTATTAAAACTTCCCCATAAAGTATATTACATCCCATAATGTGGAGAATTGCATAATCGATTAAACCTCTCACTTCAGTACTATTGCATCCTACTTGGATGCAATAGTATACTAAATGCAAGCTGGACTAAATTGCATCCTACTATTAAAGAATTGCATTTTTTGATTCCATTTTTGGTTTGGTGCACTGGCTATTACATCTAAACGTTTGTTTTCACCTTTTCATCATATAGCGTGAACTATTGCATTTTTTTGTAGTAACCTCTCCTAAGAAAGTATACTCTACTATGAGCTTGCGAGCTGGACTAAGGTGCTGTTCTGTTCGTCTTATTCTTATTACTTATTGCTTATTCTTATTTTATTCAGATCAGATCAGATCAGAAAGATTCAGATCAGATCAGAAAGATTCAGATCAGATCAGACCAGATCAGAAGCATTCAGATCAGATCAGAAACATTCAGATCAGATCAGAAAAGTTCAAACATGATTTATCACTTTTATTATTATATTAAATATTAATTATTATTATTATTGTTATTACTATTATGATTATTATTATATAATTATTATTAATAATATTAATAATAATATGATAAAAAGATATTTATAATAGTTATAATATTTTAATATAATAATAGTAATATAAATGCAATTGTTAAGAAGACTATTATTATTACAACATTATAATAATAATAATAATAATATGATTAATATTATTATAATATTATATTATAATTATATGTAATTATAATTATAATTACAATTATAATTCTTATAATTATAAGTATAATCAATTGTAATTATTATAATTATATCTATAATTAATTATATTTATAATTGTAATTAATTATAATTATAATAATTATAATTATAATTACAATCATAATTATAATTATGATTATAATTATAAATATAATATAATATTATAATAATATAATACTAATTATAATAATAATCATATTATTATTATTATATTATTGTAATAAAAAATATTAATATAATAATATCGTTATAATAATATTAATTGTATTTATATTACTATTATTATATTATAATATTATAATTAATGTTAATATAATTATAATTATTATTAATTATAATTATAATAATTATAATTATACTTATAATTATATTATAACTATAATTTATGATTATAATTATTATTTTTATTATAATTAATACAATATTATTATTATTATTATTATTATTATTACTATTGTAATTATTTTACGGAGTAATTATAATAATATTGATAACTATAGTTACAATTATAGAGATAAATATTGTAATTATAATTACAATTATAATTATAATTTTTTTTAAATTATATTTGTAATTGCAATTATAATAATTGTAATTATAATTATAATTATAATTATATTCATAGAAATATTTGAATCAGATCAGATCAGAAAGATTCAGATCAGATCAGAAGGATTCAGATCAGATCAGAAGGATTCAGATCAGATCAGACCAGATCAGAAACATTCAGATCAGATCAGAAAGATTCAGATTAGATCAGATCAGATCAGAAAGATTCAGATCAGATCAGATCAGATCAGAAAGATTCAGATCAGATCAGATCAGATCAGAAAAATTCAGATCAGATCAGATCAGAACTTAAAAAATTCAGATCAGAAACATTCAGATCAGGCGAAGAGAACAGCTTCTAAATCGATCGGAGACGAAGTCAAGGATAAGAGGGAGGGTCTCTGAGAGCAAGACGGAGTCAGCGTCAGAGAGCTCATCCTTGAGACGGCGCAACATTAATATGGAGTATATTAATGTAATAGTCCAAGTGTCTAACTTGCAATTCGGAAGAGTCCAACTTCTGAAATTTCAGAAGCACTTCTGGTGCTCTAATTTACTCCCAGAATCAGTTTTTTTAGAAGCTGGGGGTATCAGCTTCTGAAAACTGATTCTGATTCTGCTTCTACTTTAAAAAAGAAGCAGAAGCAGAATCAGTTCCAAACACCCCTAAACAGGCTGTAGAAGTTTATATCACCATCAAAGATATGACACCTGATTGATCAAACAAGAAACTGCAAGTAGGAGTCAAATACATAAATTTAGCAAAAACACTAATATGATTTGTTTGAGTGATATTTAAGGAAACAGAAAACCATTGTAAAGGAAAGAGTTAACTACAAAGATAAATAATGAAATTAAAATGCATGAAAGAAGAATAAAAGAAGAAAAGTAAAAAAGAAAATGCAAACTTGGGTGCAAATCAATCTTGAGCATCCTGAAAATGCTTGGTGTACACATTTTGGTGTACACTTTTTGTACATTCATCCGTCTCATGTATACATAATTGTTTGTCCACGAACAACTCTATGGAATTGTCTGTGGACAGACAATTCTGTGTGTGTGAGACAGACGAGTGTACAAAAAGTGTACACCAAAATGTGTACACCTAGCACGGCTCCCCTATATATACCTTGTCGATGCCTAAGTGACATCATTTAATGTTAGGTGAGGTGATAAGCCATGACGATTGTCATCCACCACCTGAACGAAAGAAGAAGAGTCTCCTAGAAGAGATGATCAGTCATAGAGAAGAAATAATGTGTAATTAGCTAAATACAAACATATGTTAATTATTATATAATCGGCTAAATACAAACATTAGGGATGATGACATTTTGGTTCAACCCATTTTTCATTAGTAGCTAGTAGTGTTGGTTGTGCATTAAAACCTCTCATTGCATTAAAACTTCACCATAAAGTATATTACATCGCATGATGTGGAGAATTGCATAATCTATTAAACCTCTCACTTTGTACTATCACAGTGCTTCCGAATCATCGCCGCCCTTCGTCTAACATTACTTGACCAACTTTAGGATCCCGACCCTCTTTTTCTCAGGCCCCGCCTACATAGTTTGAAAAAGGCTTAAAATCCATAAACAATTGTAAAAATGTGAGGATTGTAATGGTGCAAAGTTTTTTTTTTGAATAAGAACTTACTAGAGCTTCTTTATGTTTACTCTGAGGTTTGCGGCCCCCGTGCCATTGTGTCTCCAAGGCTTTCTCGGACATCCGGTTTTTCTTACCGGATGCGCTTCTTAGCAATAAATTTGGATCCAAAGCCCAGTGGCGACAAAGGTTGGCCCACATTTCATCTGAACACCATCTAGGCTGCACCCCTCTCTCTCGGGCACGCCTAAAAGTGGGGCGAAGCCAGCTAGAAATCCTTTTATTGTACGCTCTAAGAATATCAGGGCCTTGTGCTTCGGCCCATCGAAATTTGTCCTTTATTAAAAAAATTTTAAATTAATTTATCATTTATCAAATTTTAAGTTACTACAATTACGCACTGATTTATTTTTACCTTGAACAGCTTCCACCAAAATTCACGGACCTTCGGGTCAACGTCTGTGTAGCAAGCCCAATTCCCAAGAAAATGGCCACCGACTATGGTTTTGATTTGCTCCAACACTTCCTTTTCGCTTTAAAAATTAATAATATTTACTAATAGAAGTTTTGATTACATTTTTTCACTTAAGAAAAAATTATTTGACATTAGAAAAAGTTGATAGCCACTTACTCTTCAACCATTTCGGGTGTCACCCAAACTGCATTTTCGTTGTTGCGCTCTTCTTCGGTTAAGGGGGCGTAGTTCGGGCGGGCACGGGAGGTTGACTGTTCATTAATTTAATGGACCGTATGCATCATATATCATTCTTTGGTCCCACCTCATTTGATCATGGTCTCCCCACCCACTCATCTCGTTAGGGACGTTACGAGACGAACCTACCGTTCGTGGAGCGAGAGATCGATCCAAAGGTTCGCCATGACAAGTCCAATTATAATAATTGGGAACGAAACCGTCCGCGTACAAATCCCACCCAACCTCGTATGTGTCTTTAAATTTGAGATTTTTACACTTTGAACATGGACATCTGATTTTATCACCACTTATATAATCCGGGAGTTCAAGTGCAAATTTAATAAACTCCCCACATCCCTCAAGGAAATTTGTTTTCATTCCGTACAATACCGCATTTTTATCATACATCCAACTTCTGTTTTGCCTATACATTATGCCTGAATATTATAATAATAATAAATATATTGGTTAAAAACTTTAAATCATAAACATTATCAACAATTTGTTATGTTAAATATTTTCACTAATTCATATGTAGGAGCATTAATATATTCAATTTTACTAAAGTTCACTACAATTAGATAACGTTCAATTAATATTATTAATTAACTAGAACTACTAATACGTTAATGACATTAATCATTTAAATTATAAACTAACAATCAATACATTAACACTAAATAATCAATATTAGGGTTTTAACACTAAATACACTAAATTATTACGTTAATGGCAGTAATTCATAAGCATTAACAATAATTTGATATGTTTAGGAACATTTATTTATTAAATTTCACAAAATTTCACCAAAATTAACTAACGTCCAATTAATATTATAAAACTACAAACAATACGATAATCTTAGTATCGTGAATTAATGTCATTACCGTATTGTTTGTAGTTTTATAATATTAATTGGACGTTAGTTAATTTTGGTGAAATTTAGTGAAATTTAATAAATAAATGTTCCTAAACATATCAAATTATTGTTAATGCTGATGAATTACTGCCATTAACGTAATAATTTAGTGTATTTAGTCACTACTACAAAATCATGCTTTGCCTACAAAATTTGGGCATACAAAATTAAATTTGTAGTCAAAAGTGCTTTCACGCGACAAAATAAATCATTTGTGGGGAGAGTACTGTGACTATAAATATATTTTTTCCATAGAAATTATTTATGTCGACAAAAGCTACTTTTCCAGACAAGAAATTATTTCGTAGTGCTATCCTTTTCCCTACAAATGTGTTTTGCATACAAATTAAATTTGTATACACTAATTTAGCTAATTAATTTAACTTAATTAGTTAAAACCTACGTTTAGCTAACTAATTTTACTTAATTTAACTCAATGCATCACTACGTTTAAACCTACGTTTTGCTAACCAGTTGTAATTAAATTATTTTATAAACCTCAAAATTTAACTAATTTTATGACATCACTACGTTTATAGTTAAATACTTAAATATACTGTTAATTAATTAACAACCTCACTAATTTAATAGTTTTAATTATTTAAATTGAACCAACTAATTCTAATTAAAAAAAATCAA